GAAGTGAAGGTGGTTTCATCCCAGGCTCTGCGCCTGTCTTCCAGGTTCCCGCAGAATCCAGTACTGATCCCAGGTGGTGACAAGGAGGAGGAGGAAGATGGAAGAGAGAGTGGGACAAAGGAAGAGGCAGGGGCCTGGAGGACTGGAAGATGCGAGGCTGAGTTCCGACCCAGAGAAGAGAAGGCCTCGGGGTTACTCGATTATATCTTCAGACTCTCATACCAGCCTGCTGCTGGAAGGTGTGAGGCTGAGCCCTGACCCAGAGACAAGGCCTCAGGGTTACTCGATTGTATCGTCAGACTCTCATACCAGGCTGCCCTTCTCTTGTAAGCTTTTAGTTTCTATTCGAACTTTTTAAGCTGTACTTCGATTACAAGTGTAAATGAAAGCAGGAAAAACTTCATTCAGACACAAAGACACTGAAGGACGATGAAACATGACCCTGACTAGCAGAAAGGCAAAGATCCTAGGGGCAGGGTGCCTGAAGGCCAGGCAGCAGAACTTCCAGCTGGGTCACAGCGGGGGAAATGAGTGCTCGTCTCTTCTTGCCCTGGCAGTGTTCCCATGGACCACCACTGTCTTACACTGGTTCTTAGCCTTTGTAGGGTCATGGGCCCTTTTGAAATTAGAAACCCTTATGCACCCAGGAAAAATAACATGCATATATGCATACACACAAAACTATCCATGTAATTAACTGGGTCTACAGACCCAGATTAAGAACCACTGTTCCATATGCTGATGGCCAACTAGATTGTTTTTCCAGTCTAGGAACTTTTTTTCCGAGCTTCAAAAATACACATTTGACTATCTTCCGCAAACCTTCTGGAAATCTCCCTAGTGCCAGGTAACCAAAATCGAACTTAAAATCTTCCCCCTTTGGGGTACCTGAGTGGCTCAGTCAGTTGAGCATACAATTTCAGCTCAGGTCATGAACTCATGGTTCCAGAGTTCGAGCCCCACATTGGCTCACTACTGTCAGTGCAGAGCCTGCTTCAGATCCCCTGTCACTCTCTCTCTCTGCCCCTCCCCTACTCCTGCACACATGTACACTCTCTCTCACTCAAAATATAAATCAATATAAAAAAAACCTTCCCCCTAAATCTGTTCCACCTCCCATATTCCCTATCTGGGAACTTTCATTACCAGTAGCCTAAGTCTCCAAGACTTGTCATCATCCTGGGCAGTGGTCCTTAATGCTGGCTGAAAAACTGGATAATCCGTATGGGGGACGGGGAATGAAACTTGATCCTTACCTCCCAGGACATATAAAAATTAATTTGAATGTATCATAGACCTAAGAAAAAAGCTAAAATTATACAGTTCTAGGAGAAAATCTTTGTGACCTCACCTTAGGGTAGGCAAAGATTTCTTAGGGTAAAAAGAGTGAACCACCAAGGAAAATTTCTGATAAATTGGACACAGTCATATCAGACACTCTGCCTTTTCCCTTTAAGAAAATGCAGCGATAACTGCAATGGACTTTTATGCATTGCTGGTGGTAATGTTAAAATAGCATAGCCACCTTGTAAAACAGTTTGACAGCATAGAGAGCAAGATGGAGTCCCTTGTGTCAAGCATGAGCCTGTGTCAAGCAATGATGCAAGCACTTAAGGGTAGTGTAGCTATGAGATATTACGGAGACCAGCATCAGCTGACACCCAAGAAGTGATAACCAGCAGCAGCAGAGGAAGTCTGCAGGAGGGAGCCCAACACTGATTAAATCCCTTTTATTTTATTTTTTAAATTTATTGTTGCAAGGCAGAAAGAGACAGAGCATGAGCAGGGGTGGGGCAGAGAGAGGGAGACACAGAATCTGGAACAGGCTCCAGGCTCTGAGTTGTTAGCACAGAAACTGACGTGGGGCTCGAACTCACAAACCACAAGATCATGACCTGAGCTGAAGTCAGATGCTTAACCGACTGAGCCAGCCAGGTGCCCCATGATTAAATCCTTTTTAAAAGGGGACGATTTTGCAGCAAACTGTCAGACTCTTCAGACACGACCTCTCTATGTCTGACCATTTTAAAAAAAGCAGCTGCGGCCAAAGCCTCTGTCCAACTGAACTCCAGACATAACTGAGATCCTTCAGTGATTGAATATAATAAGCAGTAAGTGCCAAGAGCTGACTTGGACCCAACTGAGACCTTATCTCAACTGTGGCCCCACAGACTCACTTCGAGTTCAGTTCATTAACTTTCCACACCCTTCTGTTATCTTGTTTGTTGCTCAGTGTGTCTTATGTTCTGCTCTGTGTGCTATGTAAGAAGCCAGGTTCATTATATGGTGAAATGTCCTTGAGTTTGGAACCCTGAACCTGCTTTATAATGACGTTAACCTTGTTTTTAGGATTGAATAAAGCTGGTGTTGTGGAAAGATACAACTTGTATGAGTGCCTTCATGGTGTGCTTCTGATGGACAGCATCCTTGAAAGTTAAAAATGCCATACATGGGGCGCCTGGGTGGCTTAGTCGGTTAAGCGTCCGACTTTCGCTTAGGTCATGATCTCGCGGTTCGTGGGTTCGGGCCCCGCGTCGGGCTCTGTGCTGACTGCCAGCTCAGAGCCTGGAGCCTGTTTCAGTCTGTGATTCCCTCTCTCTCTGACCCTCCCCTGTTCACGCTCTCTCTCTCTCCTAGAAATAAATAAAAATATTAAAAAAAAAAAAAAAGCCATACAATTGAGCCACCCCATTCGCTGCTAGGTATTTTACCCAAGAGAAATGGAAACATAGGTCCACATAAAAGACTTTTACAGGAATATTCAAGGCAGTTTTATTCACTATATCTCAAAACCAGAAACAGCCCAGATGTCCAACAACCCAGATGTCAAATGTCATTCGGGATCCTGAGAGGATACCTCCCCACCAGCCAAGCGGGGCCTCCTTCATCCACCCACCAATGAGCTTATGGGTACATGCGTATAGTCGTATACTACCCACCAAGGAAAGGGAGGAACTACTGATACACACAGATAGGTGGATGACCCTCAAAAGCATTGTGCCAAGTGAAAAAGAAGCCAGGCACAAAATGTCACATCCTGTATGGTTTTATTTATGAGAAATTCCAGGGAGGACAAAGCATAGTGATAGAAATCAGATGAGTGGTTGTCTGAGGCCAGGGAAGAGAAGGTAAAGGATTGACTGCAAAGGGGCAAAAGGGAACTTTCTACTTGGGATTCTCTCTCCTTTTCTCTGCCCCCTCCCCTGCCCTCCTGCGGCGCTGGCTCTCTTTCTCAAAATAAATAAATACACTTAAGAAATTCTAGAACTATATACAGTATGTAAAATTTTTCATATTTGCTGAATGCAAATAATATATCAATAAAGTAGAGTTTTTGTTTTGTTTTGCTTTATTTAATGCGAGGGCTGCTGTGACGGCTGTTAATGAAGGAGAACGCAGATGAAGGGATTCCGCTAAGGGCATTCCGAAAAGCATTTCATTTGGAAAGGAAGGGGGAGGCTCCCGTCTCTGCTAGGTCAGCCTCAACCGGGAGGTTTAGTGAAACATTCTTCCCGTTAGGGGGCAGTGTCGTCGTCAGCCGGTCACCAAGGCCAGTTGCAAGCCCCCAGGCGCAGGCCGGGGCCGAGGCGAGTAGGACACCCCCAGCCCAGGGCGCGCCGAGGTCGCTTGCCTACGCCTCCGGAGCGCGCGGATGACCCCCCCTCCAGCCCTGGCTGTCGGGCAGCGTAGGGCCAGCCCCTCGGCCCCGACTTGCGGAATGCAGACGCGGGAAGCGGCAGCCGCGGCGGGAACGCTTCCTGGGCGAAACGCGCCCCAGCCGGCGGCTGGCGGCCCGGGTGAAATCGACCCTGCGTCTCAGGCGCCGGTTCTGCGACAAGGCCCGCAGAAGGATGCCGCGGCGCCTCTTTCCTCTCGGACCTTCTTCCTCTCCAAGCAGGTCATCCTAGCCTTGGCAGATCCCCACCCACACAGAACTCAGAAATTGTCATTTTGAAGGACAAAAAGAAGTCTGTCCTAGAGATGTTTTGTTTAATCTGCCCCTCGTGGGCTGAAAAAGCGGCTCACCAGGCGTGGCGGGCCAAGGAGGGGGCTGCTAGGGAAATGAGCTGGAATGCGGGGAGGGGGAGAGCTCCGACACTGACCGGCGTGCCAAGGCCCAAGGGACACCGGGACCCTGCGTAATCACCCTCCCCCCCGTGGCCACCGCTCACCACGGGACCTCAGGGGACGCACTTGGGCAGCCCCGCCTGCCGGCGCCCTCGTCTCCAGCCCTCTCCGCCCCGCCTGGCGCACTGCGTGGTTTGCTTAGTTTCCCGGACCTGGCAGAGCGGCGGCTGCGTTGAGGACACACCGCACCCGTCCCGCGCCCTCTGGTCGGGGAGGCTCCGGGCCTACCCCCAGTGCCGGCCTCCGGGTGGGCGGACGCCGCGGGTGCCGCAGGTGCAGCCCAGAGCCAGCGCGCCGGTGAGTCGGCCGAGCAGCTGCAGAAGTGTTAATGGGGGTCAGGGAGGGAGGAAGGCAAGGCAGGGAGGACGGAGAGTTGGTTCCATTCCTACTTTTGCTAGCTGCCCAGAGACCAGCAGCTGCTAGAGACTGGTGGGTCAGGCAGGGGAGCCCACCTTATCGCAGTTTTCCCCAAACCCGGGTCCGCCGGCTCTTCGCACTGACGTGTCCCAAACCTAGAGAAGACAGGAGACTTTACCTGACGCCTTCTCGGGAAGGGGAGGGGAGGAGAGGCCGTGAGTATACTTCAGAGCACTACTAGCATTGGACCCAGACAGAGGCCTAGGCTTGAATCCTCTCCTGGACCCAACCGGCTGATGTTCTTGGGTGCTTCTGAAACTTTACTGAGCCTCACTTACGTCATCTCTAAAATGGGACTATAACGCTACCTCCCAGGGTCCCTAGGAAGACGAACCCAAAAGACGCTGCAAAGTGCTGAGCACTAAGTCTGTGAAGCACAGAGAGATCTGCGTTAATTCAGTGGAGAAGAATCTCCACAAGGTTAGGTCAGGTCTGCCCTTTCACAGAGTGAGAGGATGGGCTACTTGCCCAGGTGTCTCATAAGGGAGCAGGGACAAGGGCAAGAGCCTGTCGTCCAGGATGCTACAGGCAAGGCTGTGGGCAAGGGCGAGCACCTGCTGCTCTGGCTGACGGCTGTCTTGGGGGTGAGCATGCAGTATGGCAAAGACACTTGCCACTTTCCTTGAGGACATCTCTCACCGTTACTTCTAAGTGTCATTCTTCACCTCAGACTCTTGCCTCATAAAACTGGGAACGACTGTCAGAATTATTAACAACTATGGGCGCCTGGGTGGCTCAAGCGTCCAACTTCGGCTCAGGTTGTGATCTCACAGTTTGTGGGTTCGAGCCCCGTCAGGCTCTGTGCTGACAGCTAGCTCGGGGCCTGGAGCCTGTTTCAGATTCTGTGTCTCCCTCTCTCTCTGACCCTCCCCTGCTCACGCTGTCTGTCTGTCTGTCTGTCTCTCTCTCTCACACACAAATAAAAAAGAAGACATTTAAAAAATTATTAACACCTAGAAAGTCCCCACTACAGGGGAGAGTTCCCATTTTGCAGATGGGAAGCATGAGGTCATGGATGGTTGATGATATATGCCAGTTAATGGAGATCCCTGGCTCTCTTCCACTCTCCCTTATGTGTGTGCAATGCTGTGCGTTGCATTCTCTGTTAATTAAAGGATAAACACGGGCACGTTTGGCCAACCAAGGGAAGGAGGAAGCCAGAGTCAGACCTTCCAATGCTTCCAGGGTGGGGCTTCCTGAAGGGCTTACTGTGACCATCAGTGCTGATATGAGGATGAAATCAACACCAAACAGGCAAATGGATTCAGGAGAGCCAGTCACCCTCTGCCTCTGGGATGGACCTCAGAGTTTGGAACAAGATCTTGGCCTTAAGGGACATGGTCTTTTACATCATATCTGAAGATGCCTTTGGCTGCTTGGCAGAGGCCTCCTTCTAACACTCCTGGCCCTGCAGTCTTTAAAACCTATTCCAAATGCCAGATCCCCAGAAAGGGCCGAACCTTGGGACCACGCCTCTCTCCCTGAAAGCTGCGATCCAGGAGCTTTATCAGGAAGAAGTTTAAGTCTCAAGGTAGGGACATTCCTTGCAATAAGCCACTATACAATGGCTCCCATCCTGGACCATGCTCATTCACATCTGTGTCCCCAGAGCCGACACTGTGCTGCGCACACAGTGTACCCAGTGGGTGCCTGGGAGAGGTGGGGCACCAAGCGCCAGCTGGCCCTCTGACTCATCGAGACAGATGAGAAAGACAAGTGTCTCCACACCCTCTCGGCTGGCTGGCTGGCTGGCAGGGCAGAAGCTGGCTCCCTTGGCCCCACTGATGTGATCTCTTCCCCCAGCTTCCCTCATGCCCAGCGCAGTGGTTTCTGCTTCACTGCACCCCTGCCACCGAGATGGTCTCTCCCTGCTGCCTGCCTTCCCACATCCCCCACAGGCGCTTAGGATGATGCCCCTGTCTGTGGTTATCAGCACCCACTCCCCCGCCCCACAGTCAAGGCTCTGTGGCCCTGGGCATTGTCCCTTTATTCTAGAACCTGCCTCTCCACTGCCCTCCTGGAGACGGTCACCCCACCCCTGCCCACCCACACCACTGTCCTGGAGAGGGCCAGCCAGCCCTCCCCCACCCAGGAAGACAGGTAGGATTTGAACCTGCACAGGGGCAGCTTACTGTGCTCATGTGCACGCACGAGCCACCTCCTATCCTGATTGTGTTTAGGTGACTGGAGGGCACGCCTGTCCCCTGGAACACCTGGCCACAGGGGCCAGTCCTCCAGCCTAGCCTCTGCCTGGGGAGCGGCAGGGGAGTGGCACTCAGGTCTTTCTTGAGAACTTCCCACACTTGTTGAGCTCAATACCCTCTGTGTTGTCACCTCCTCTGGGGATCTCCAACTCTGTCCTTGACCCTGTCACCACAGCAGCCCCATCAAGTGGCTTCGAGGGGCTGAGATGGATAGAATGGATCCCAGACCTGGGGGATCTCAGCCAGGCAAGGCAGAGAAGCAATCAGACAGTACCAGGGACAGTGCAGCATGAAGCACAGGGTTCTGGGGAAATGCGACTGAGGAGGGCTTCTAGAGAGTCCCGTCAGTTGAAACAAAATGGAAAATGAAAGAAACCGCTGCCGTGTTTGTTTATTCATGTTGTCTTCAGCTCTGAGGAAGGTACTACTGTTAACTTCATTTTACAGATTGATTGCTCTTTTTCCATGAGCAAGTGACAGCAAGGGTGTGAAAGAGGCCCAAGGGAGTCTTAACCTTCATATTGTGAGCAAAGACGCTGGGGTGAGGACAGTGCAGGACAAAAGACGGGACTACAGAAAAATGTAATGTTTCTGGAGCACCAGGTTCCGTACAGAGGTGAGTGGGGACAGTGGGACTGGAGAGCCTTGTAAGCCAGTCAGGAATGTGGACTTGGTCCTGAGGGTGGTGAGGGACCCCCACCCAGGGGTCATTACCCAGGAGAGAAATGTGTGCACCTCTCTGGCTACCGTTAGGAGGGAGGGTAGAGTTAGGGGACAGAAAGCAGAGAGGTGGGTGCCGGCTTCTCTAGAACTGGCTTCTTGATATTTTCCTCATTATGCATGCACAGAAAAGGATTCCTTTTATATGACACACTGGGGTAAAATGGGGAGGGGCTGTTTGCTGCTAGAGGCAACGAACGCAAGGGTTCCAGCCACCTGAAGTCCCTGCTCGGCTACCCAGAGGGCTGAGGAATCTCAGGCGGCATGTACCCCCATCATGGCAGACCAGACTTGGGGACAGGAGACAATGAAGAAATGATTAGGGGGCACCTGTCTGGCTCAGTTGGTAGAGCATGCCACTCCTGATTGTGAGGTCATGAGTTCAGTGAGTTTGAGCCCCATGTTGGAGTAGAAGTTGCTTAGAAAATCAAACCTTTAAAGAAAAAAAAGAAATTATTGGAAAGCAAAGTTAGTATCGCTTACTGAAGGAGTGAAGAAGGAAGAGGACCCCTGGATTTCTGGACTGAATAATTGGACAAATGGTCATTCCCTCACTGCTGCAGGAGATGTGGGGGCAGGGCTGGGTAATGGGAAAGTGATGAGATAGCTGGCTGCCCTGGGTTTGAGGTGGATGCAGAATGTCAACAGGCAGTGGCTCAGGGCTCTGGACCCCAACGGTCTGGGTCCGACCCCTACATTCATCAATCTACTAGTTCTGTTAACCTGGGCAAAAACCTGGATCTCTTTAAACCTGTCAATTCATCCATAAGATAGGAAATGTAATAGAATTTTAGAGTTGTTAGTAAATGAGAATAAAATGAGATAATGTACAGTGCCTGGAATATAATAAGTATCTAACTGGCATCACTATTTTTTTAAATTAATTAATTTATTTTGAGAGAGGGGGAGAGAGAGAGAGAGCGCGCGCGCGCACATGAATGGGGGAGGGGCAGAGAGGAAGGGAGACAGAAAGAATCCCAAGCAGGCTCCACACTGCCACCCCAGAGCCTGATGCAGGGCTTAAACCCATGAATCGCAAGATAGTCAAAAGCCGGACGCTTAATGGACTGAGCCACCCAGACATCCGGGCAATACTATTACTATTGTTATTATTATCAATAATCTGAAGTTCAGAGAAGAAGCAATTTCAGAAGTCATCAAATGGAAATTGAAACCATGAGGATAAATGAGATAATCCAAAAAGAATGTAGATGCTGAGAACAGTGAGGTTGAAGACCAGGAGCACCAACATTTCAGGGGTGAACAGAGGAAGAGAAGCTTAAGAACAAATGGTCCAGAAGATAGAAGAAAGCCATGAGAGCCTGGCGTCTTGGAAGCCACACGTAGCAGCCACACACAGTTGATCCTCTGTCTTACTTCCTCCTCCCTAACAGAACCTGATGCTGTTGAGGTAAGCACCATCTGGATTGTGTGTGCCTCAGAGGAGGCAGCCCAGAGCCCCAGCTCCAAACCAGGAAGTCAGTCCTCACTTGTACTTGCCCCTGATTGGTTTATGAAGGTTTATTTGATCCCTTTCTGGCCAGTGGGACTTGATGGAAAGTCTGTTGAGGGACTTATAGAAAAGATTTCTTTGATTTAAAAAGATGTCCATGGGGCGCCTGGGCGGCTCAGTCAGTTAAGTATCCGACTTCAGCTCAGGTCATGATCTCACAGTCCATGGGTTCGAGCCCCATGTTGGGCTCTGTGCTGACTGCTCAGAGCCTGGAGCCTGCTTCAGATTCTGTGTGTGTGTCTCTCTCTTTGCCCCTCCCCCACTCGCTCTCTGTCTCTGTCTCTCAAAATAATAAAGATATAAAAATTTTTTAAAAATAAATAAATAAAAAATAAAAAGATGTCCATGAAAATCAAAACCACAGTGAGATACCACTTCACACTCACTAGGATGACTAGAATCAAAAAGCCAGATAACATCAAGTGTTGGTCAGAATGTGGAGAATTCAGAACCCTTATACACCGTGGGTGGGAATGTAAAAAGGAACAGTCACTTGGAAAACAATCTTGCAGTTCCTCAATTAAACATAGAGTTACCATATGACCCAGCCAGTTCCTGGGTATATATCCAGGAAAATGAAAAAAAAAATTATGTCCCACAGAAACTGATACACAAATATTTATAGCAGTGTTACTCATAATAGCCAAAATGTGGAAACAACACAAATGTTCAACAGATCAATGGATATCCAAAATGTGATACATCCATGCAGTGGAATAGTATTTGGCCATAATAAGGATTAAATACTGACACAGGATTTTAACATGAATGAACTTTGAAAATATTACTTTAAGTGAGAGAAGCCAGCCCAAAAGGCCACATACTATATGATTCTATTCATATCAAGTCCAGAATAGGGAAATCTATAGAGAGAAGGTAGATTAGTGGTTGCTTAGTTGTGAGGATGTGGCAGGGAGATGGGAGATGATAAGTAAAGGGTATGTGTTTTCTTCTTGAGGTGATCTAATGTTCTAAAATTGACAGGGGCACCTGGAGCGCTCAGTTGGTTGAGTGTCCAACTCTTGATCTCTGTTCAGGTCATGATCTCACAGTTTGTGGGATCAAGCCCCGCACTGGGCTCTGTGCTGACAGTGTTGAGCTTGCTTGGGATTCTCTCTCTCTCTCTCCTCCTCCTCCTCCTCCTCCCCCTCCTCTTCCTCTCCTGCTCACACACACACACACACACACTCTCTCTCTCTCTCTCTCTCTCTCTCCTCTCAAAATAAATAAATAAATAAATAAATATTTTTTAAAAAATAAATAAAATTGATAGGAGCGATGGTCACACATATGAGTGAATATTTAAAATAAGTTGTAGGTTAATTATAACTCAATCAAACTGTTGAAAGAGAAGCACAAAAACAGTGATACACCAAGAATACACAATCTTCTCAGTGTTGTCACATCTGCATGGAATGGCTGGTGCTAACCATCTTGCTACCAGCATGAGAATGATGTCTACATGGAGAGAGACAGAAATCACGAGGACCGCTGGGAAGTGGCGAGGGAGCCCAGCGGCACCACACTCTGGCAGTCTTGTTGCATGACGTGATTAATTGTTTAAGCCTATTTGAGTCAGAGTTCTCGTTGCCAGTATTGTTTGCAGACAGTGAACAACTTTAATCAAAAAGGGGTTTAGTATAGGAAGTAGCTGCTTCTGAAAACTTGGGAGGAGCTGGAAGATCAGGGTCTGGCTGAACCTCCAGGAGGAACTTCTAGAATACTGCGAAACTGACCTACTGTAGGAGCTGCTACAGGCTCCTGGCCCTGTCAGGAGATTGGGACACAGAGAGAGACCCACAGAGAGAGTGCAGGACCACTGGAACTATTGATTTCAAGAACACGGTGCCGTGTTTGTGATGCCAGTGTCAGATGGACATAGCCAAACCACCCCGGCTGCCTGCCAGCACCCACGAAACTGGCAGGTTAACATGGAACACCACCTCAGAGAACTTAGCCATCACCTTGACCTTACTTGCCAGAGGAAGACAGCAGGAGGGTGGCCTTCACTTGGCTTCCACTTCCCAGATATCTCCCATCTAATGATTTCTTTGCTCCTTATTCCTACTTGCATCTCAGATCTTCTTTTTTTTAAAAGTTTTTCTTTTATTTTGAGAGAGAGAGAACAAGCATGAGTGAGGGAGGGGCAAAGAAAGAATCCCAAGCAGGCTCTACACAGCACAGAGCCCGACGCAGGGCTCGAACACATGAACCGCAAGATCATGGCCTGAGCTAAAGTCGGACACTAACCAACTGAGCCACTCATGTACCCCCCCCCACATCTAAGATCTTCTATCTAGAATCATTTTTCCTTCTACCTGATATATATATATATGTATCTTAGAATTTCCTGAGGGTCTGCTTGTGAAGATCTTTCAGTCTTGATGTTCCAGAAAATATTTTTGTTTTGCCCATGTTCTTGAAAAAAGATTTTGAACACAGAAGATAGACTGGTGGTTATTTTCTTCAATTTCTTCTGTTTCCATTTATGTAAGTATGTATGTTATTGTGGGAGAGACAGTGGCGTCTATCTGGGCCCTTTGACTATTCCCTTTTCCTGCAGGGTGGCCTGATTGTAGGCTGGGACCTGGGGACCAGAACGTTCAGAAGGGTGACAAGGGGCCCTTGGACATGGAGGCAGTGGATGAAAGCAGAATGAGATGTGTGGTCAAGATGGAAAGGCAGGTGAGCGTGGGAGGGTTTCGCTGGTGTGACGGAGCTGGTGGACTGCAGGGCTCTGGAGGCTTCAGGGACAAGCACAAGGGAAGGTGCACTTCTCAGAGGCATGGCCCAGAGCACCTGCTGCCAAGGAGGCCTAAGGGGGCCCAGGCTTCCCCTGCTGCCAGTGCAGTTATTTTTTTCAACATATGGATATTCCCATCCTTGCCTAGAGCCACCTCTGATACCAAATGACCAGCATTCAGTATGGGAAACAGAAGCCAACAGAGAAAGAATTTATACAGTTACTAAAAGTCATTAGGTACACTAGAGAATGGGCTGTAGTTTGGGCCTCTGGGAAAGACTCTCTGAACACTGAGAAGCAACTCACTAGAGGAGCTGCCCTCTGTGTGACAGTCCGGTAAGAGTAAAGGCGACCTTGGACTTCAGTCAAATTTAGTAACACAGCATTGTTGCTGAGGGTCAGGATGCCACCATAACCTCAGCTGTGTCTCTGCACCCACAAAGCTGGGGCTGGACACTGGAAAGCTGCTGTAGGAGACTCTGTGTCTCATAATCTCGTTTGCCCAGAGAAGACAATGAAAATTGCAGATATATGGCCTGTGTCACATCTGCTCTCTAAATTCCTTTAAAAATTTTTTTTAAATATTTATTTTTGAGAGAGAGACAGAGAGAAAGGGAGACACAGAATCCGAAGCAGCCTCCAGGCGCTGACCTGTCAGCACAGAGCCCAACACGGGGCTCAAACTCAGTAGTTGTGAGGTCATGACCTGAGCCAAAGTCAGGTGCTTAACCCACTGAGACACCCAGGTGCCCCTGCTCTCTAAATTCTCAAAACTTAATTTGTATAACCAGCTTCAAGGGAATCTACAAAATGTAACTTTCTGCTTCCCAGCCTTGTATGGTGTAGGAAGGCACTCTAGAAGGAGATGGGAATTGTGGAAGGGATTGCTGTTGTCACATGACGTGCAAGGTAGGGGCCTGAAGTGGCCATTGTGTTGACAGCTGGAAAGCAAGGAGGCCTTTGAGAGGCTGTGTCAGCACCACGGTGGTGGGAAACAAGGCGTGAGGAGCGAATTCAGTAATTGTGGATGGTGTAGGGTGTCCTGTGCCGGAACATGGAGAGAGATGGCAGACAGAGGGCACATCAGCTCAGGGAGAGTTTGGAGAGGTTGTTTTTCTAGGAATGGTAGATAACCAAACACGCTTATGATGAAGGGAAGGTGCCAGCTGAAGGCAACAGAGGGAGCAAGTAGATACAGAACAGATGGAGAGCTTGTGGCTGGTGGGTGAGGATGCTTATACAAAAAGTTGCTCATGACATTTTGCTAAGTGACAAAAGCACATCATCGGACAAACATTGTGCAATTCCTTTCCTGCTCGAAAGCGTGTTAGATACACCCAGATCCTCACTGACTTGTCAGACAGCCCTCATAGAGATAAAACTCAATGAACTCCACTCTTGCAAGCCGCACCCCTGAGACAGAGCCATCCCAGACAACGGTATAGGCGTGGGCAGAGTGGGTAGTAACTAGAGGGGCGGGATAAGAGACAGATTGGGTGGGATGACTGACTGTTCAGGGCCATAGGCTGGCTTGTTCCATAGGCCTCGTGGTCAGATCATCATTCCAACGGTCCCACGATCACCCTCCCTCCCGTACACGGAAGAGCAGCCTGCCAGCAGTTCTAGACCAGCTTCAGAGGCCTGGGCGTAGCATCACCCCAACTTGTCCACCCTCAACAATTGTGGAGACACCCAGATTCCCCTTAGCAGTTTTGGGCCACATCCTAAAAAAGCACTGATATGTTTGCAACACAGTCCCCTCATGCTTCCTGTTTCCTCTCAGATAATGACCACAGGATCCACTGAGCAAGGCTGACCCCTAAGTGCATGACTTCCTTGAAAATAACTCGATGCAGCTTACACTAACTTAGCTTTTCACAGCCCTATCTTACCTTTCAATATGGTTATTTCTTATGCCAACCTCTCTGTCTATACATAAATATAAAATAATTTATATATAAGCTATCTTGTATTATTATTGTATGTGCGTTACAGTCTGGGACCATTTTTAATCATTATTGGCCCCAGGATTTGGGGGTTTTTTTCTTTTGGGGGAGGTGGTGCCAAATCATGTGAATTCAGGCTGACAACCCATGTGAGGCCAGGCTCGTGGTTACACATTCTCAGGGGAGATCCCATACCCCAATTTGATTGGGATTAGACTCTAACAACTGCAGTTTTTCTGGCAGTCCTCTGTATTCAAAAGTGATATTTTTTTTTCAAATTTTAGAGAGTGTGAGCAGGGGAGAGGGGCAGAGGGAGTGAGAGAGAGGATTTTAAGCAGGTTTGACGCTTAAAGGTCAGAGGCCAATGTGGGGCTTGATCCCAAGACTCTGGGATCGTGACCTGAGCCCAAATCAAGAGTCAGTCACTTAACCAACTGAACCACCCACATGCCCCTACAAAATCAGTTATAATAAATGTAATGATATGTGAGCTGAACAAAAGGTGGGGAATACTAAGGCGTGAGAGCAGGGGCCTAGGGCCTCAAAGACAGACTTGAACTAAAGACATATGCAAAACTGAGTGCATAGGAGCATGCATTTTTGTGGTCTCTCAGGACTGGCAGGACAGAAGATAAAGCCTCATGTCCACTCAAGAGAGAAGCTTAACAGGAGAACTTGCTCAAAGCTCGGACTCCAGAGGGCTACATTCTCAATATAAAAGTGACCCAGAGGGCGCCTGGGCGGCTCAGTCAGTTAGGCGTCCAACTTCAGCTGAGATCATGATCTTGCGGTTCGTGGGTTTAAGCCCCACGTCGGGCTCTGTGTTGACAGCTAGCTCAGAGCCTGAGCCTGCTTCAGATTCTGTGTCCCTCTCTCTCTGACCCTCCCCTACTCATGCTGTCTCTATCTCAGAAATAAATTAAAAAAAAAAAAAAGGTGACCCAGAAATAAACTGTTGCTTCCACAGAGGACTGGGATCCTGATGCTAATTGGATTGGAGTGTAGGTGGGTGAATCTCCCCTGAGAATGTGTAACCACTGGGCTGCCCTCATATAGATTTTCAGCCTGAATTCACATGATTAGGTACCACCGACCCTAAAAGAAAACAAACAAACAAAAAAAGGCCTAGAGCCAATATCAAAATTGATCCAAGACTTTTGCTGCCCCCAGGTACCTGACAGAAGCAAGTGTAAATCTTTTTCAGTGGAATTCAGAAATGTGCCTTCATCCCTGGCCTCAAATAATTCCCACAGGTTATGTCCAAAGAAAATAAGCAGCCTCAAATAAAATACTTTGCCAAATATAGAAGTAAACAGGGTACTATGAGTAAGAACCAGTAGAAACAAGACAGCAGATTCAGACTCCAGAAAACTTTATATATTTTTTAATGTTTATTTTTGAGAGACAGAAAACATGCAAGCAGGGGAGGGGCAAAGAAAAAGGGAGACAGAGGATCTGAAGCAGGCTTCACATTGTCAGCGCACAGAGCCCAACATGGGCTGGAACCCATGAACCATGAGCTGAACCATGAGCTGAACCTGAGCTGAAGTCGGTCGCTTAACTGACTGAACCACCCAGGTGCCTCCTCAAAAAACTTTAGATGCCAGAATTATCAGATCCAGCATACTCAAATAAGTATGCCTAGTATAATGTAATAAATGAAAGAGGCTTGAAAATATGAAAAAAGAGCAAGCAAATGTGGGGAAAAAACCCATAGGAAAGAAAAATGTAAAGTTGAAATGTAGAACGCAGTATATAGGTTTAATAGCTGGTTAAATATAGCCGAAAGAATGATTAGTAACGTGGAGGGTAGAACAGAAGAAATTATTTGAAATATAGCCCAGAAAGACAAAGATAGGGAAAATATAAAATAGAAGCTAAAATGACATGGAAGATAGACCAATAAGGTCTATCATACATTTAATCATAATTCCAGAGGGAGAATAAGTAAAAAAGAGAGAAGAGGCAATGTTTGAAAAAAATAACGGAAGAATACTTTCCCCCCCAATATGTATGTATGTATGTATGTATGTATGTATGTATGTATGTATGTATTTAGAGGGCATGAAGGAGTGAGAGGCAGAGAGAGAGGGAGGGAGAGAATCCTACACAGGCTCTGCACTGTCAGCGCGGAGCTTGAGGTCACCTGATGTGGGGCTCAAACTCACAAACCGTGAGATTATGACCTTCGCCTAAGTCGGGTGCTCAACCAACTGAGCCACCTAAGCGTGCCAGGGAAGATTACTTTCTATAGGTGGAAAAGGACCCTACCCATACAGTCAGGGAGCCCAAAAAGTTTCCAAATGTGCTAAAGCGAAATGCACACCCAGAATCATCGGAGTGAAACGACAGAACACAGCATATTAAATATTAGGATTTTGGCCACTGCTGGCAGTCCTGGGGTGCCCCATCCCTGGATGAACTGCTTCCAAAAGGCAGTGCTGAGAAGACTGAGGAGGATTTGGAGGGAGATGGCAAAGAGGAGCTGGATGACACTCTGTCAAAGAGACTGTGGGGTCTGACAGAGATGGTCCTAGAGAGGGTCCGGCCTACAGCTGGAGCCACTTTTGATCTCTCCCTCTTTGGGGCTCAAAAAATGTACAGGGTTTTCTAGGGGAGCCTTCATGATCCTGGTGCTCTCTGTTGTAGGGCTTAACACAGGGTCCTCAGGAGGCCTGCCAGGGGCCACCTTCATTTCCTGGAAAGAAGCTCTTTGGCTTCTCTTGCTGGGACAAGTTTGAAAATTCAGTAGTGTTTGAACTGCTGATTATTTGGGTTATTATTGTTTGAAAACAAATTTTCTAATGTTTATTTGTGAACAGGGGAGGGGCAGAAAGAAAGAGACACAGAATTTGAAGGAGGAGCCAGGCTCTGAGCTGTCAGCACAGAGCCTGATGTGGGGCTCGAACCCATAAACCGTGAGATCGTGACCTGAGCCGAAGTCAGATGCCTAACTGACTGAGCCACCCAGGCACCCGAAGTTTATTACTATTTTT